CCCCCCCCCCCCCCCCCCCGCTCTTCTCTCTGAAATGGGGTTTTGCCCTGTGTATTGATGTTAAAACCACTCGAATAAATTTTGTCGGGAAAAAAAATGTCTTGGTGAGGACTTGAATCTGACGTTAACCTACATTACTTCAGGGCTTTTGCTAGTTTTATGTATGATCAACAACCACAACCGCTGTTGGTATCATTGGGCCAATGCCAGCCACCCATACTATTTTGGTAAGTGCTGCTGAGCCAGTTTACTAAGGGGAGATGACTCGAGGAGGAACCTCGTTTACATGAGCATATTCTGATAAACCTTTGGAGTAGTTCAAGTTGTAAAAATAAAGAGCCATAAATTTAGACATTTTAAGTTAAAATTTGACAATTTTTTAGAGTCAGATCAAGAGAAAATTATTTTTCATTAATACTTTAGTCTCGATTTAGATGATTTGTCTTTATTCGGATTAAAGAGAATGTTAATCGAGATGTACGTAAGTTCGTTTAGACACTCTTGACCGTTGGGAAAAAAAAAAAAGAATATAAACCTCTAATCAAACTATCAAAGGTCAGCCAAGAAGTTGAATGAAAGTGCTTCACATACATGTGTGAGATTTATGGATGGATTATGGTAATATTTATGCATCAGAAAATTGTAAATAAATTAAAATAAAAAAATGTAAACCAAGAGGATTATATGGAAAATTTCACGTTTTAACCATTTCTATTTTTTATTCCTTCTAAAACTCTCTAAAAATTTTTTACAAGTCATAATGATTAAACTGGAAAAAGATAATTACAAGAACATGAGAGTCAAACGAGATTGTACATTAAAACTAATTATAAATAATTCGTGCTTAGTTTTCAGTTTTATGTGTTTTATAACATGATTGAGTATTTAGAATTGAATAAAGTTTCTAATTAGGGTCGTTTAATAAGTAAAATTGATATTGTATATTACAAATTTTAAGNAATTTTTTACAAGTCATAATGATTAAACTGGAAAAAGATAATTACAAGAACATGAGAGTCGAACGAGATTGTACATTAAAACTAATTATAAATAATTCGTGCTTAGTTTTCAGTTTTATGTGTTTTATAACATGATTGGGTATTTAGAATTGAATAAAATTTCTAATTAGGGTCGTTTAATAAGTAAAATTGATATTGTATATTACAAATTTTAAGGGACCAATAAATAGACCACACTAAAATCATGGGTTTGGCAACAATTCTAATTTTTTTTTTTCGCATGGTTCATTTATCAAATTTTTTGGTCATTTATACAATTTTTTTAGTGAAGCTTATTAAATTTTGAGGTGTATTACCTTTTTAAAAAAATATTTAATATAACGATGGCACTACGATACGAAAACTTATTATTTTTTAGAGTAAATTATATCACGTATTTTTTATTTTTTAGTAGTGTACCACAAAATGAAAAATCAGTATGTTTGGGACGGTAACAAATTTTTATATTGGGTTAATCTCACTCTCTGTATCTTGAAAGATATTTTAATTATTAATTTGTTCACTCCAACATTAAAATTTTTAATTTATACTCTCAATGTTTTGAATTGGGAGTAATGTGGACATGACTCAGACTTCCGTTTAGTTTTCTGTTATAAATTGAAGCACTTGAATTGCAAGTGCTTTGGGTATGAGGATGTATCTCCATCGTTGCAAATCTTTGTTTGGGATCAATTTTGCCGCCATTTTTTGTATTAAAAATAGAATTTCATTAATATAAATGTTAATCATATCATGTACAACTCACATAAATCGTCAACAGTCTGTGAATTTATACATAACCCTATGCTCAAAGTATTTTTAACTCACATGCTTTAATTTATGACAAAAAACTAAACGACAGTCTAGGTGAAGTCTATATTACTATTAATTTATAACATTGAGGGTACAAATTAAAAAATTTAATGTTTGAGTTACAAATTGAAAACTAAAGCATGTGCAAAGTGAGATTGGCCCTCAAATATTTTTAGGAAAAATTCCATTCACACCTCCAATAATTAAGTCTAAATTCAATGACACTCTCTTATGATTCTAAAACTTCAATGCACCTCCTTCTGATTTATACTGTCGAATCAGTAACTTCTTTATCTAATAATAGATAAAGTGCACAATTTGACTTCCTATTATTTGAAAATACCAAAATTACTCTTTATTTTGTTATTAAACTAAAATGGGTCCACACTTGATAAAGTTTAGTGTTTTTTTTTTTGGCTAAGTAAGATAATATATTTATATCTAATTAAATTACTTTTTACACAAAATAAAATCATTCAACATAATAAGGTCATAAATGCATACAAACAAAACAAAATNGAGTAACTTTTTTATCTAATAATAGATAAAGTGCACAATTTGACTACCTATTCTTTGAAAATATCAAAATTACCCTTTATTTTGTTATTAAACTAAAATGGGTCCACACTTGATAAAGTTTAGTGTTTTTTTTTGGCTTAGTAAGATAATATATTTATATCTAATTAAATTACTTTTTACACAAAATAAAATCATTCAACATAATAAGGTCATAAATGCATACAAACAAAACAAAATAAAAAAAATTAATTTTAACATTTTATCAAAAATAAGGTTAATTATAGTCATTTTCAATTGATCTCAATAAATTTTTATCATTTCAAAGCGTTGTATAATAACTTTGTTATAATACCACTGAGAATATATATATTAGTCATCATATTATTACTCATTTGGTTACATAANAATTTTAACATTTTACCAAAAATAAGGTTAATTATAGTCATTTTCAATTGATCTCAATGAATTTTTATCATTTCAAAGCGTTGTGTAATAACTTTGTTATAAATACCACTGAGAATATATATATTAGTCATCATATTATTACTCATTTGGTTACATAATCGAGTTTTTATAATTTTTATAATTAAAAATATTTTCTCTACAATAAAAATTATAATCGATAAAGTCAATATCAAAATTTCATCAATTTTCAAATCTTCTGCTATCGTCTTTACTCCACAACGTCACTCGACCATATTTCACACATCACTTTTCACATATCAATTTTAAAATATTATTTAAAATTTAATGTTAATTAAATAAATTTGGTCTTAATTTGATAAATTGTTAATTTAATAAAATTAAATATTAATTTAGTGTTAATGTGATAATATTTAATGATAATTGAATAAATTTAAATGTTGCTTCAATGAAATTGAATGTTAATTTGGTATTAAATTAAATAAATTACATTAATTTGATGAAGTCAAATGGTAAATTAATAGAATTTAATGTAATTAAATTTTAATTTGATAAAATTGAATGATAATTTGGTGTTGATTTGATGAAATTAAAATAACAATTTAGTGTTAAATTAAAAAAAATAATNTACATTAATTTGATGAAGTCAAATGGTAAATTAATAGAATTTAATAGAATTAAATTTTAATTTGATAAAATTGAATGATAATTTGGTGTTGATTTGATGAAATTAAAATAACAATTTAGTGTTAAATTAAAAAAAATAATATTAATTTGATTAAATTAACTATCAAATTTGTGTTGATTTAATGAGGTCGAATGTTAATTTAATTTAAATGAAATAAAAGATATTAATTTAGTAAAATTAAATATTAAATTGATAAACTTGAAAGTTAATATAATATAACTAAAAAAGAGTGCAATGAAATTTCAGAATTAAGAAGAGTTTTTTTAAAGTTAAGTCTATTTATAAGGTGTATGGATGGAATTTATCCTACAAAGCACTAAAAAGGTACTGTATTGTTGTACTCGTTGTGAACGCTTTAAGCAGAGAGCAACTGATTAGGGGTGTCATTGAAATTTTAAGATTGAGAAGGGTGATATTGAATTTAGACCTAACCACAGGGGCGTGGATGAAAATTTTCTTTATTTTTTTCCCAATGTGCAGCTAAAACCCATCCCCAATCCTCCGGTACCCTTTCTCCTTCCTCGCCGTATTGAAGGGCAGCCGCCGGTCAGCCTCCGCGTAAGCTCTCTCCTCTTCTCTNGCATTGAAATTTTAAGATTGAGAAGGGTGATATTGAATTTAGACCTAACCACAGGGGCGTGGATGAAAATTTCCGTATTTTTTTCCCAATGTGCAGCTAAAACCCATCCCCAATCCTCCGGTACCCTTTCTCCTTCCGCGCCGTATTGAAGGGCAGCCGCCGGTCAGCCTCCGCGTAAGCTCTCTCCTCTTCTCTTCTTGCAAAACACACACACACACTCACAGTTACACTCACGCACAGTTACAAAACACACAGTCAGCCCCGCATACACCGTCCTCTCTCGCTCATCGTCGCCATAATCCCTGCAACCTAGGTTAGTCTTACCCTTCTGTACGTGTCTATTCGCTCTTGATCGTGTCACAGCTTTTGAGCTGTCATATTTAAGTAAGATCGTGCATAAAGTTTCTTTAATGTAAATTATGATATGTTCTTCTGAAAGGGGTTGCAAATTGTTATATGTTTTGGGGAAATGAGTTGGTTTTGTGGATCTACAGATATTTTTTCAAATAGATTGTGAATCACCGGGGAAATAGGTTTGTTGACTTCCCTTTCCAGAGAAATTTGATCGGGAAAGTTTGGTTATTATGTGTGTGTGTGTGTCATCTTCTCTGTAGTATGTAGTGATAGATATGCCATAAGCTATTGTTCTAGTCTGAAACCTTATTAATGCCTTGTATCAATCTCCAATGGAAACCCAAACCCTTACCAAATTTGAATTTAAAAAAAAAAGGTAAAAAGCTTGATTTGGTATAGACTTCTCTAATGGAGAAACTCAAATTTAAGGAAGATAAACTTAAATTTAAATGAGGACAAACTTATATTTAAAGGATAATAAAATCTAACCATCGGTGAAAAGGGTCAAGGTTTGAATCTTTCTTAATTTGATGGGTTTGGGTATACATTAGAGAAGATTAAGGGTTTTTTTTTTATCGAAATTTAAATTTGGGTCTAAAAAAGGGAAGGGTTGGAGATGTCCAGAAAGTTCATTTTTCAATGGTCTTATTAATTTTCTTTAGTTTTGGTGCTGTAAAACTTTTTTCCTTACCAACGTGCTTGTGTGCAATGTACCTATATAGCTACATCAGTCAATGTTTCTGTTTTGTAGCTGCAGATTGCTAAGGTGACAGACTTTGAAGGTTGGGGAGGGCATACCCACTCTTCTTAGAGTATTAGACATTTATAGTTGAGTGGGTGGAGGTCCGCGAGCAGGTGAGAATGGGAAGAAGGATCTTGAATGACGCACTGAGGACAATCGTGAATGCTGAAAAAAGAGGATTTGCCACCGCTCAACTTCAACCCATTTCCAATGTCATGGCGGCATTTCTCAAAATCATGAAATATCGAGGTATGCTAATCGATATGTTATGTATATATTCCACTTACGCACACAATAAAGTTCACATTTCCCCTAACTTACTGCATTTTGTTTGGCTATGAACAAACTTGAGGAAATTATAGAGAGGATTAAGAGAATAAAACTTTTCAGTTCGGTTTTGTGCTTGTGTGAGAGTAATTGAAGGGTGGTGTTACAAACACGTTTTCAATTATTATACTTTTTGGATTGGTATCACAATTATTCTTCCAAAGTAATTGAAGTGATTCTATTTTTCTTTTTCCCTTGAAAAAATCAAATTGTGTAACAGTATTTTTGTGTTTTTCTTTTCTTTTATTTTTTGATTGTTTACATGGTTAAATAAGCAAGGGCGTGATCAGTTCTTAATCTTGTAGATGTTGCAAGATTGGGTTGAAGCTGAGTTGCATCCATTCAAGTGATCAGGAGGTTTCAAGAGGATAAATTCCAGTACTTCGGAATTGCTCTAATTACAAAATGAAATACCTTTTGTCTTGATTGAAAAAAAATCTAATTGCTGAGTTGACTCTACACAATTCAGTAGAAGTAAAAGGTTTCTAAGTTGGCTACCCATGCTATAATGGGCATGTTCCTCTTTATCTATGCATTTATTTTCTTCCCTTTGCGTGGGAGGGAGGGCAGAGGGGCTTTTGAGTAGATGCTTAAGGAAAAAGATCTAAGGGGCATTGCCTTACTTCGGGTGTGTTAGGTTTGCAGAAAAGAGATGAAAACAAAAAGAGGAAAGCTAAGAGGAATTTGTTTGAATGTTTTTCAAATTAAGGATTTCCCTTTATATTCCATTCCGTCTTTTGCAGACACACCATTTGTTTAGGTCGCAATAGGGATGATTTAAGCCGAGGGGTATTGAAGGACTACATTTTGCCTGTATCGTGGTAGTAAAACAGGATAGAGAGGCTCATCTTTGGATTCTTTTACTTCATGAATGCTCTCTCTCTCTCTCTCTCTCCCCTTCTTAGACAAACTGGTTGAATTCCAATAGTCTAAGGAGTAATTTATACTAATAGGAAGACGTGAACCTGGGTTTTGGGATAGGAAAAAATGAAGAAAGAGGAATCATAGAGAAATAAAAGCAATTTCTGAACATTTTATGGTTCTTGTTTTGGAATATAAGGCTCATTTTCTCTCAATTTCATCAGGTTAGCACTTAAGATGGGATTGCCCCTTTTTTGGCACCCTTTCCTATGATTCGCTAATAAAGAACAGGATTGATTTACATCATGTCTTTGCTTTGATGTGCTTTGGAAGTGATTTTCTATGTTTCTGTTTCTCACTTGTAAATATACTTTGCAGGGTATGTCAAAGATTTCCAGGTACATGATTCTCACAGAGTAGGAAAGATTACTGTCCAACTGCAGGGCAGGGTCAATGATTGTCGGGCTATCACATACAGACAAGACATCCAGTCTAAAAGCATTGAGGATTATAGATTACGCACACTTCCAACACGTCAGGTATGTATGCTTTAATCATATGGATAAATATCTACTCATATTTAGAGGTGCCATCGAACCTGAACTTGACCAGATGGTGAATACTTGCAATCCTTAATAAGTTGGTTTCCTGGTTTTTGAGTCCACTTTTTATTTTTTTGAGTTTAGTTGTCAGTAGTTTGTTAATAGTCCTAGTTTATTACTCCTCCCGTTCCTAAATATCTGTCGTTTTACCCAATTTTTTTTGTTCCACAATAATTGTCGTTTTATGAAATCAAAGCATAATTAATATTTTTTCTTCCAAATTTACCCTTATCTCTGTTTTCTAATANCTTCCAAAGTAATTGAAGTGATTCTATTTTTCTTTTTCCCTTGAAAAAATCAAATTGTGTAACAGTATTTTTGTGTTTTTCTTTTCTTTTATTTTTTGATTGTTTACATGGTTAAATAAGCAAGGGCGTGATCAGTTCTTAATCTTGTAGATGTTGCAAGATTGGGTTGAAGCTGAGTTGCATCCATTCAAGTGATCAGGAGGTTTCAAGAGGATAAATTCCAGTACTTCGGAATTGCTCTAATTACAAAATGAAATACCTTTTGTCTTGATTGAAAAAAAATCTAATTGCTGAGTTGACTCTACACAATTCAGTAGAAGTAAAAGGTTTCTAAGTTGGCTACCCATGCTATAATGGGCATGTTCCTCTTTATCTATGCATTTATTTTCTTCCCTTTGCGTGGGAGGGAGGGCAGAGGGGCTTTTGAGTAGATGCTTAAGGAAAAAGATCTAAGGGGCATTGCCTTACTTTGGGTGTGTTAGGTTTGCAGAAAAGAGATGAAAACAAAAAGAGGAAAGCTAAGAGGAATTTGTTTGAATGTTTTTCAAATTAAGGATTTCCCTTTATATTCCATTCCGTCTTTTGCAGACACACCATTTGTTTAGGTCGCAATAGGGATGATTTAAGCCGAGGGGTATTGAAGGACTACATTTTGCCTGTATCGTGGTAGTAAAACAGGATAGAGAGGCTCATCTTTGGATTCTTTTACTTCATGAATGCTCTCTCTCTCTCTC